GGCCCTTTACAAGCTTTCTTGTACATTAAGTAGCTTTCTCAGACCTGGGCCACGTGCCGTTTGAAGCTTTGCTCCTCAGCCACGGTAATGAGCTTCACCAGAGTTTCTTCAATGGACTATGGGTTTCAGGTTGGCGAGGGGGTGGTAGGCTACAAGATCCGTGGCACTACTGCTGGGAACTTGGAATCTCGCTCCTACATTTGTCAAGGACAGAGTCAGATGAAAGGTTGTGAAATGTTGTGAACATAGAAAGCACACTGCTATTGTTGGACTTTTCTGTTGTGGTCCGCAAACTCACATCACCGTGCTTGGCTTGGATTCTGAATGCAGACTCGCTAGCTGCAGTGCAGCAAGGACTTGGGCAGTAAGGTGACAGCACAGTTCAGCTTCTTAGGTCCTTGATCCGATCATGTTGAACACATCAGTGACTGTGTTTTACCTGCACAAACTTGCCATCAATCGATAGTCATTCTTGATGTCTTGAGGTGGCGGGACCCAAATGCAAACTACTCTTCTGCACCACTGGAGTGATCCTGCTTGGCCCCAAGAGCCAGGGCACCTTGTGAGGAGCGCGCAAAAGCATTGCCTCCGCTGCTTTTGCTTACGTTACTTTCTGCACAATTGGCTGCCTTCAGTCTCGATACTGTGTTTGCTGCTATAACATTGCAAGAAAACATGGGAAGGTTGCAACATGTCAAACCAAAAGAAGCACTCAACTTTGTGGCCTGCAACAAACTTAGGCGTCGACTGGCGAATGAGGGGCACAATTTCATGTTTGGTCCGAAGACGGCTGCGAGTCAGCACAAAGTTGGAGAGTTCAGATGTTCATCTCACGTTGGGGCTTAGACTTGCCTGATGGGCTGAAGATTCAAGAAACCACGGTGCACACATTGTTTGACTGCATCCGACTGTGTCTTCAAGCGAGCGCCTGAAGGTTACTCACTTACTTGTGGACGAGGTGCACGAGAGAGGGGTCGAGACCGACTTCATGCTGACCTTCCTTAAGCAGGTTGGAAGGGAAGGGCAGAAGAATCGAATTGTGGTGAGAATTGTATAAATCTGAACTGCTTCTCAACCAACTTGCCCCATACTGTCAGCACCAGTAGCTTAGTAGCTTTTGCCAAGCGAAACAGACAACATGCCTTGGCCTTGACGTTTGTTTCAAAATCCGGTTTGATCCATGACGTGGATCTAGAATCTTTCTTTTCTCATGTGTGATCGCCTCACATGGGCAGTGCGACCCACAGTGGCGCAAGGGTGATCGCGTTCTAGGCACCTTCCGGCCTTTGTTGGGCCGTTCGCCAAGACACTTCCAGGTCCGGAACAATAGGCCCAAGCTCCGGGTGGTTCTCATGAGTGCGAAGCTCAGCAAGGCTCAGTCTGCGAAGGGTGGAGGTCTCCCGCTACAAGCAGATCGAGACAGGCCGAGATGTTTTGTGTCACCCCTTTCAAGGGACTCTTCCACTATTGTAGTGAGGGTTTCCAGAAGATTGGATACAGAATGAAATTTGCAGAGGCCCGAGATTCACACCCAGTTCTTCTTGTTTAGCGGCCATTGTTTAATGGTTCGCATTCAGGTGCCACCATGGACACGGAGTGCTTCCTGAAATACTTCAGCATGTGCCTTATAAATCGAGAGTAATGCGAAGCACGAGGTGATTTGTTGGATCAAATTAAGGCTTTCCGGAAAAAGTGGTAACCGTGGCTCATCCCTCAGCTTGAGACAGTCTTCGAAAAGGGGAATTGGACCAGTCTCGGACTGGACCAGGCAGTTGTTCAGTATTAAGAATTTCTTTACGTAAACGGAGATTGGAATCAAAGAAAGACGACTGTTTCGAAAGAACCCTCTTAGGGCGAGCTTGTGCAGCCGCCGATGGTGGTTTGCTTGGGGCCCAGAGAATTCCGCTCCCACTGGGAGACCACTCTGCTCGAGGCCTGACCTTGCAACTTTTTCAGTGTTTTACATTGTTTTACAATGTTGGGTGTTTTGGGTGTTGGGAGGAAAGGAAACGAGGCACAACAATTTGCTAGGGCTCCACTGCCAAAGCTCCTTAGGCCCGGCCTTCTGCCATCCGGTGGCCCAGGAACTCAGAGCTCCAAGGACGCTTCGATTGCTGAGTCTTCCATTGTTTGAGTGTTGGTGGCAATGAGATTCATGAGCAACTTGCGTGTTGACGGTCAGCAGTGCACTGGTGCACTGAAAAGCTCAGAAGATTGACTTTGACGCATGACTTTGATCCGAAAGACACGGCAAGACTTGCCGATCGGCTTTGCCCTCAGGCTGAGTGCTACCTCGAGACCATCAATGCTCGCCTGGGTGCGACCGTCACAGATGGATTTTGGATGCGTTTGTAACATGTAACAAGTAGTGGCTGCCAGGAAACTAGACCCCTCAGGCCTTACGCTGGGTGTGTTTTCAACATCTGCAGGGAGATCAGATGATCCTGAAACTGGAGAGAGCCTCTGAGTTCACCCTGTCACATGCAGCAGTTAGGATCCAATCTCTGAAGATTGTTGAGCACATACAAGCACCTCCAACTAGGAGTTTGGCACTGGTCCACACATTCGTCTCCTAGGTCGGAACCGCTCGCCTGAAGCGAAAAGCAGGGATGCCCAGAGATTCCGCCCGCTGTGCGGTGTGCCAGTGCGAAATCCACCAACCTTCCAAATACACATATATATATATATAATATTGTGTAATTAGAGTAGATACACACATATATATATATATACAATATTGTGTAATTAGATGTAATTAGAGTAGATTAGTAGATTTGTATAGCCGGTATAGCTGCTGTTTGGACTTTTGGGGGTGGGTAGGATGCACAGGAACCTCGAGCTGGTTAGTTAAATGGACATCTCCAAAACGGGATTCACCTCTTCCAAATCCTTCGGTCAAGAGGTGATGCGGGGGGCGCCCCACTCCCCCCGAAAAGTCCTCAAAAGGCCTGGAAGGGGACAGAGCCACGCATGGTTCAAAGGGATAGGGAAGCCATGGGAAAGCCCGAGGGCTGGTTCTTCGTTTCAGCACGACACCGGTGCGCTGCACGATGAGGTCCGGACGAGCTGCGACAAACCTTAATGCCTTTGCCTTGGGCTGTTGGAGTCCGTGGCACGTCATCATGAGAGCCTTCTTCATGTGGCTTATGTTGTGAAGAGGCTTCCCAATGCTGGACTCAGGTCAGAGAGTGATGGGATTGATTATGAGCTCATCCTCAAGATTGTGGAAGAGCCAGGCACTTACTTGTGATGCACGTCTTCAGAGCTAGAGCCGTTTTGACCGTTGACATTCCTGCAGCTTTCAGGGTCATGGTGCAATATCATGAGTTGATTGAGGTAGAAGATAGGCTCATTCCGGGTTGCGTGTGGATGTTTACAAACTGTATTGACTGCTATTCACAAGTTTGCCAGCAACTGCACCTTGAACTGTAACTTTTAATTGTCTCATTAAGTCAGTCCTAAGTGTTGAAGGAGCGTGCAGCATTTGTGAAAGCCCTCTTGTTGAAACCACAACCACACCAGAAAGCACCACCAAAATACGCTTGTTGGAATGCCACCCACGCCACAAGGGCGCCTGACGCTGCACGTCCGAGGATCGAAATATCTCCCGAGGGTGCCTGGACCTTTGCGCCGGAGTCCATGCGAACGCTTCCCAAGGATCCCGGCCCGAAGCGAAGGGCGAAGCCTTGGCATGTCACCGGAGGCGGCTCCAACCCCCCCCCCGCGCGGAGACAGATCCAAGAGCGAAGCGAAGCTCAGCAAAGCTGTTTGATTCTTGTGATGTGGTAGGAGGTTGCAGAAAAGCACATACGGGTGATATCTATGTGGGTTGTAATTCCAGATGCACCAAATCGAGAAGTGTACCAAGTCAGTTCATGAAACCTAGAGGCCAATGGAGCCCTTTCGTTCGAGTGGCGACAAAAGCGGTCGCCAAGGGTTTTGCGGGTTATGAGCCCAACGTGTTAAGGGTGGGGAAGTCCACCCAAGAGGTGCCGCGTGGGCCCCTTGGTTGCTGGCCGCCATGTCCAAGCGCGGTGCGGCGCCGGCGGCAGCGGCAGCGGCGGCGGCGTCGTCGACGCCTGAGGAGGGGTCGATGGAGTCGGCCAAAGAGGACGAGATCCTCGCCTTGGAGGACGCGCCGGATGCCCTGGTCCCTGTGACGGCCATGGTTCTGGCCCAAGGTCCTCCGACCACCTATGGCCCGCAGCGGCGAGGAGAAGCTGCTGGGAAAGGAAAAGGTGAGGGCGCGAAGTCAGTGCCTGTGAACCCGTTCTGGAGCGAGCGGATGCAGGCAGAAGCACGGCTGAGGGCGATGCGACCAGCGGCGCTGCCGGATGGAGATGCTGCTGACGGGCCTCAACCTTCAGGGCGGGTGGAGCCTGTGGATGAAGAGAGAGGGGTTTCAATGGACGTCAAGGAACTCCTGAAGGCGGTGATGGCGCAGAACGCAGCCTTGAAGAAGGAGGTTGGGGAGCTGCGAAAGGAGATCAAGGAGTCCAAGGTCACCCAGGAGCAGAAGGGGAAGGTGAGGGTTGCGGCCATTGAAGATGCACCCAAGCCCCCAATGTCGACACCACCACCATCACCTCCGAAGGATCCGCCTCCACATACCCCTGTGAAGGGAAGGATGGATGATTCGGATCAGGCGTGGGCCGGTTTGAGGATTCCTGAGTTCCCCAAGTCGTTGGAGGGTGAAACTATGGGGAGAGGCAACGCTCCAAGAGGTTCGGGAGTACCTGAAGTGCCTGGATCCTGGGGAGCCGGAGGGTGGGGACTTCAAGGTGGCCATCAACGAGTACCAGATCGAGAGGGTCGAGGGGGCAGTGAAGAGAACCGGGAGCTGATCCGGGGCTCACCACTTGAGCAAGCTGCCCAGTCGGTGCTTCGGCAGCTGGGGACGAGCTCACCTGAAGGACAGTGGGCCACCCCTTCAAGATCTTCGAGAAGGTGATCTGGGGTCTCTCATCTTGGGAGATTGGATTCAGCTGGTGACCCCGACCATGAAGGACCTGAGCGCCACGAGCTGGAAATGGTGGGAGGAGGTGTTGAACTTCGCCATGATGGCGTATCGAGAGTGGCTTCAGGCGGAACCAGTCCAGAGGCTCTACATCCGGCCGAGGGTCCCAACGGAGTGCACGGGGGTTTGGAGTCGGCTGGAACAGCGAGGCCAGTTGATGCTCCTCAACGCAGTTCCGCAGAGCATCAAGGCGGAGATCCTGGCTAGCAGGACGACCAGCTCGGTGGAGGTTCTCTATGCGCTGTTTCGGCGCTATCAACCCGGGGGGCTTGCTGAGAGGTCCCGACTCCTTCGTCAGCTGGTGGAACCGAAGACCCCCCAGACGATGAATGAAGTGGTTGAGGCACTCAGGGGATGGAGGCGCAGCTTGAGACGCGCCCAGGAGCTGGAGATTGCCACTCCGGATGCTACCCTCCTTCTGGGGGCGCTTGATCGAATGTCTGAGTTGGTGGGGAAGACATCAAGCCAGGTGGCCTTTCGAATGTCATCTACAAGAGCGGCTCTCGGGGTGGACGTGACGCCCTCGTTGGAGACGGTGTTGAACTTCTCGGACATGCTCACTGCGGAGGCCGAGTCGTTGGCCATCAGTGAACTGCAGCCAGTGACGGAGGTCAAGACGGTCCCTTTGGCAACCAAGGTCAAAGCCATGGCGGCAGTGACTGAAGAAAAGGGGGATAAGGGGGCTGGGAAAGCCAAGAGTGAGGTAAAATCCGAGGAGAAGATCTGTCGCTTCTGGGGATCAGAAGAGGGCTGCCGGAAAGGACAGGAGTGCCGGTTCAAACATGATTGGACCAACTTGGAGAAGAAGGGCCGCTGCTTTGGGCGCTCATCGACCAAGCATTCCAAGCGGGAGTGTCCGGCCACCAAGATGAAGGGTGATGGAGAAAAGCAGGTGAAGACCTTCAAGAAAGAGGCTGAGAAAGGTGGTGGGGCCAAGAAGAACGAGCGGGAGCCCGTGGTCGAGAACCAGGCGTCCTCGGTTGAGGAGGTGGTGGATGAGAAGAGGGTGGAAAAGCCGGCAGCTAGTTCTGGAGAAGTTCAAGCATTGTTGTCGGAGGCCACTACTCTTTTGAAGACCTTGAGACCGGCTGGGGATGGGAGAGCCTCGCTGAAGGCGGTCAAGCTGAGCAGCCTGGAGGTGAAGACTACGGATCGTGCTCTCCTCGACGGAGGAGCAACCCACTGGCTCAGGAAGGCGGAGTCGGAGGAAGAATGGATGAGGGCCCAAGAGGTCCGAGTGGAGCTTGCGGAAGGATCAGTGGTGCTGAGGCAGCTTCCTTGGACAAAGACCCTTCTCACACAGAACGATGTTCAGACCATCGTGCCGCTTGGCGTACTGATCTCGCTCGGCTATGAGGCCTACTGGGAGAAGGAGCGCTTCACGCTGACGGACCCGAGTGGTGCCCTGCTGGATGTCGCGATTGAAGGCATGTGCCCAACGGTCGGGGAAGGCTTGGGAAGAGAGCTCATTGCAGAGATCGAGAGAAGCATGGTTCGGGAGAGAGCCAGGTTGGCGGTGCTGAACGGAGAGGAGAATCAGAGCGAGCTCGAGCTGGGGGAGATTCACCATCTCAAGGAGCTCCGAGAGTTGTTCCCAGAGGTCCCGCTTCGGCTGTTGGTGAGGATTTTGCCGAAGGTTGGATGGAGGGGGGAGTCGATCCCTTGGAACCGACGTGAGCGGAGACGAGTTCGCAAGGCGCGGGAAGTTGTGGTGCACCTCTTCAGCGGGGACACCAAGAGGTATTGGCAGAGGGAGCTCGAGTCGGAAGGCAGAGCAGTCCTATGTGTGGACACGGTGATTGACCCCGGCATGAACATCCTCCAGGACGACGTCTTTGCCTACCTGCTGGAGATTGCCGACGGTGGCACACTTCGAGCGCTCTTGGGGGGGCCGCCCTGCAGGACGATGAGCAGGCTGCGGTATCGACAGCCAGGGCCACCTCCACTTCGAGAACGAGAAGGTCCGGGAAGATTTGGACTGCCGAATCTGGACCCAGTACTGAGGCAGCAGGTGGAAGATGACACTCTACTCTGGCTGAGGCAGATTTACCTTCACCATCGGGCATGGAGAGCGGCTCAACCTCGAAAGGTGGTAACGGCCTTGGAACAGCCAGATGACCCGGAGGCCTATCTGGGAGAAGCCAAGACGGGAGCAGGAGAGATGGCCGGGGAGAACATGGAGATGAGTGGAAAGCCAAGGGAGCTGAGTGGGCGCCCCCGGTACCCGACCTATTGGAGCTGGCCGGAATGGCAGAAGATCAAGGACCTCTGGGAGCTGTTCGAGGTGAGACTCGACCAAGGCCCAATGGGACACGCCCGGAGAAAACCTACAAGGATTGGAACCAACATGCCAAGGCTCCTCGAGTTGGAGGGACTACGAGGACCAGGACAGGGGGGGAGACGATCACCAAGGAGAATCCATCCAAGCGAGGATCGCTCGGTCGAGATCCTGGGCTTCATGGGCGCCAGGTCTCAAGGCAGCGCTGGTGGTCGCGGTGCGTGAAGAGCTGGGTAGTGAGGAGCCTCAGATCAAGAGGATGGACCTGGAAGCCTGGAAAAGGCATCTTCTGAACGGTCATGTACCGTACAATAGAGAATGCAAGTCTTGTGTCATCGCCGCATCGAGAGGGAAGGCCCACAAGCGCATCTCACACCCGGATGCCTACACCCTTTCGATCGATACTGCTGGACCGTTCCAGTTGGCTGAAGACCAACTTGGCAAGGGCCGCTACTTGCTGGTGGGGGTGTACCTGGCACCAGTGACCAAAGAAGGGCAGTCCCTCATTCCCATCAACGAGGACGACGAGCTTGCTGGAGCCTTGGGTGATGGTCCGGGGTTGACAGTCGTCGAGGATGAAGAGGAGTTAAAGGGCTCCGGGACAGACTGGCCGGGACTTGATGATGAGAAGGCCTGGTTGGAAAGAGTTGAGATGGAGGGTGACTTCCAGGTGAAACAGATCCTGATCGTCGAGATCCTGGAGAGCAGAGGAGGCCCGGCAGTGGTGGAGGCGATCGGGCGGATGGCGGCGAAGTTGGATTTCTTGGGCCTACCGGTCAAGCGACTCCACTCAGATCGAGCGGGAGAGTACCAGTCCCGGGCCTTTCAGAAGTGGTGCCACGACAGGGACATCATGAGAACATTCAATGACGGCGACAACTTCAAAGGAAATGGCCGCGCAGAGAATGCGATTGCTCAGGTCAAGAGAGGCGCACGAACGCTCCTCATTGCGGCAGGCCTGGATGAGAGCTTCTGGTGCCATGCCGCCAGACATTGGGCTGAGGGCCGTCTGAGGAGGCAACTGGAGTCCATGGGCTGGAAGAGGCGAGAACTCGTCCCGTTTGGCCAGGTGGTGTGGGCCAAGAGGAAGTACTACAGTGATAGACAAAAATACCTGTCAACGACAAGAACTCAGGTCCGAGTGCTCTGCCCGGCTGTCACGATGTCGATGACGACGCCTGGATACCTGGCGCAGGAGCTGGAGACAGGGAAGCTGTTCCACACCGGTGACATCGTCCAGGAAGAGCTGGAGCTGCCGATGAGGGAGGCCGGCTTCACCCATGAGGTTGATGACAGAGAGGAGATCGACCAACCACAAAAGCGACCAGGAAGAGTGAGGAAGTGCTGGGGTTCCCCGTCAAGATCGGAGGAGGAATCAAGGGCCGTGGACCTGGGGGGAGCTGCAGCACCGAGGAGCACAGATCCTGGCTCGGGAACTGAGCCTCTTGGAAGAAGATGAGGGGGAGATCATCAACGAGAGGTTCCTGAAGATGTTGACCACCGAGGTCGAGGAGATCGTGGAGGAAGCAGTGCGAGAAGGGCGCCAAGAGCAGGAAGCGCTGTTGGAGAACGCCGGAAGGCAGCTGGGGATCCACAGGAGTTCCTGCAGACCAGGATGGTGGGGTTGACGGAGGTGAGGAGAAACTTGGAAGAGTGGAAGCCCTCCATGATCGAGGAGTATGTGGCGCTGACCAGGGAGTCGGAGGCGGTCGAAGCCATTGGTCAGGGTCAGTCGAATCGATTGAGGGAAGAGGCAAAGGCTCAGGGCAGGGACTTCGACCTGGTGCCCGCGAAGGCCATCTTCAGTCGAAAGGCTGGCACTGGGAGGCACAAGTGCAGAGGGGTGGCATGTGGAAACTTCATGAATGCCAAGAGCTCTGAGTCCACGTTCGCTTCAGGGGCCAGCGGGATTGAAGTGAGGACGCTGATCAAGCTGGCAGCGATCAACCAGTGGTCCTTGAGCACCCTCGATGTCAAGACCGCGTTCCTCAACGCCCCAGCGGCTCAGGACCGTGGGGTGGTGATAGTTCAGCCACCAAGAATCTTCCAGGAGGCTGGGGTGCTCCAAGATTCCAAGGAGTTATGGCTTGTCAAGAAAGCCCTCTACGGGTTAGTGACCTCGCCACGGGACTGGTGTGACCACCGAGACGGAAAGATCAAGAACTTCCAGTGGCTGAGAGGAGGTCGGCCGGTGAGAGTGCAGGCGACGCCCCAGACAGACATCTGGCTGGTCCAAGAACAGGACGAACAAAATGCCTGGATGACGAAGGGAGCATTGGCCACGTACGTGGACGACGTGCTGATGGTGGGTGAGAAGGAGATCATCCAAGGGTTCATCGACCAGGTCAAGATGCATTGGAAGATTGGTGAGCCGGAGTGGGTGATGGAAGGTCGAGAACCAGTGAGGTTCCTGGGAATGGAGATTGAAAAGCGAGGGGCGAGCTATGTCATACACCAGCAGGCCTACATCACCAACTTGCTGAAGGAGTATGACGAGAAAGAGCGGTGTGCTTTGAGCAGGGTTCGCACACCAGAAGAGGAGGAGCAACCCACTGCTGATCAGGTGCTTCAAGCTCAGAAAGAAACCGGGGAGCTCCTATGGGTAGCTGGAAGAACTCGACCAGATCTCTCACTGGGGGTGGGTATGATGTCTCAATGGGCGTCCAAGAGACCACTTCAGGTGATCAACATTGGAAGGCAGCTCAGAGCCCATCTCCGGGAGACGATCGATGAGGTCATGGCAATATGACTGCCGATGGTGGAGATGCTGAGGAGAAGGCCATTGGCGATGAAAAGAACATGATCCAGGCGGTTGACGTCTACGCGGATGCTTCCTATGGATCATCGGAGCTGAAAAGCATCTCCGGAGTGGTGGTATTTGTTGGAGGAACTCCGGTGGGGTGGCAGACGACTCGTCAACCCTTCATCACCTTGTCAACGGCGGAGGCGGAATTGATGGCGCTGCTGGAGGGGTTGGTCGCAGGAAGATCCACGGCAGCACTGGTCGAGGCAGTGACCGGGGAGAAGGCGAGGGTGGGACTCCATTCGGATTCCACCGCTGCGATTGCGATCGCCGCAGGGACTACGTCATCGTGGAGGACCAGACACCTGAGGATTCGGGCAGCGGGGCTTACTGAGGCGATCAAGGAGAAGGAGATCACCTTGGATCATGTGTCCGGGAAGGTCCTGGTTGCTGATGGCTTCACCAAGCAGCTCATGGGACCGGCGCTGGGAAGGTTCAAGAGAGCACTAGGACTACAAGGGGAAGAGAAGGAGCCGGTCGTGGTGAAGAAGATTGACATCACCAAGAAGGTCGACCCGGGGTTCACTCGAGGAATTGGACTGCTCATTGCGGCCGCCAGTCTGTTGGGAAGAGTGGAGGCAGCAGAAGTGGAGAAGGCAGAGTCCACGAGTGAATGGTGGATCATTGTGCTGATCACGGCGGCCATCGCGATCCTGGTGGACATTACCTTCCGAGTGGGGACTTCGGGCATCCAGAAGTGGTTTAAGCCAAGGGAGGAGATCAGGGTGAAGTTGCTGAGCCCAGAAGCTCGACTACCAACACGGGGTTCGGATCAGGCGGCAGGTCTGGACTTGTACTCCACCATCGAGACGCTGGTCCCACCGGGAGAAAGTGTGTTGATCAAGACCGGGATTGCCATGGAACTGCCTGCCGGGACCTACGGGAGGATTGCTCCAAGGTCATCGCTGGCCATTCGGGGCATTGAGACAGGAGCTGGAGTGGTGGACAGGGATTTTCGAGGAGAGGTGAAAGTTCTTCTGCGGAACTGGTCTGATGAGGATCTCCGAGTCTATAAAGGGGATCGAGTGGCTCAGTTGGTGGTGGAACGCATTCTGGAGGTGGGAGTGCGTCCTGTGGAGGACCTGAGCGAGACCCAGAGAGGAAATCGAGGGTTTGGATACTCTGCTCACGAGGAAGCGTATCCGTGGGCAGATCCACATGACCCGCTCTATCAGAGACAGGAGCTGGGAACGAGGACTCCGGTTAGCCGCATCTCCATGAGGGCGATGAGGGTGACACCCGAACAAAGGCAGGAGGTGGAGACGAACCCTGGGCAGATATCGGCAGGAGATGAGGTGCAAGCACATGGCCCACTATCCCCAGACCGACCTGAACCAGCTGGACGTCATCAGGTACCCGATCCTGATCTATGGCATCGAGGACCCTATGATCCCGAAGCTGAAAGGGAGAGGAGAGCAGCCTTAGGACTCGGAATGTCCGTTTGGGACCGCATGATGGAGAGGCGCGGTCCGAGAAGGAACTTCGGAGGAACGTGGATTATGATGGACTCCGAGGGCACCCACGTGATCTTCAATGAACACGGGTCGGACAGGAGGCAGGTGCAGTCAGCTTCAGGACAAATGGAAGGGTTGGCAGGGGGCGCTACGTCGTCGACATCGGCGGGGGCACCGGGCATTGAGGTTGAGGAGACGGAGGAGAAGAAAGAGAAGGCGGCTGGAGCGGGTCGGGATACCTCTGAAGAGGGGTGCGCAGTCCAACGCATTGGAATGAGGAGAGAAGCCCTGAACTTCATCTCGCCGGTGGGGAATGGAGTCACTTTGGGGAGGTGGACCCTCTGGAGAGAAGAGGTGTGGGATTTCCTGCAGAATGAGCAGTTCCAGCCGGGCTTCTTCACCCCGGGCTTGCGGCGGAAGGTTGGCATCCCACCCAAGCGAACAGCGGCCAAGGACACGTGGCTGACGCTTGAAGACCTGCCGGACGGTGGGAAGGTGTCGGTGCGAGAGCACGTTCAAGAAAGGAAGAAGATGTTCGACTTCGAGAATCCGAACATGTGGGGCGAGAAAGAATGGTCTCCGTGGAGGTTGACCATCGCATGGGCGGCCTTGCCGGGAAAGCGGGAGAAGTTCATCATTGTTGATGAGCGGCGAGGGAAGCGGAGCGCCTACCTTCAAGAGACGTGGGTAGGATACACGCTGTTCCGCACGCCCTGGAACTAAGTGGAAAGGGCTTGAGCGGAGGCCGAAAGGCCATTTTTGAAGGAGAGGCCATACTGGCCGTGTTTTTCAAGATTGGTGCACCCTCAAAAGTCACCACGAGTGGCGAGGGGGAGTCCAGATGCACCAAATCGAGAAGTGTACCAAGTCAGTTCATGAAACCTAGAGGCCAATGGAGCCCTTTCGTTCGAGTGGCGACAAAAGCGGTCGCCAAGGGTTTTGCGGTAATAACCGATTTGCGTGCTTTTCTCTCCGATTCAGCCGCCGATCCATGCGGTGCAGGATCCCCGGAAGGGTGCCATCTTGGTGTTTCTGCCCGGCCTGGGAGAGATCACTCAGCTCATGCATGGAGCCCAAGTTCACACTCCAGGCGTGAAGTGGAGGATCCAAAAAGAGCTGAGGTGCTGGACCTAAATGTATGTTCTAAAGCAGCATTCGGGTGAGAGTTCGCGAGAGATAAACATGCGCTTTCCAAAGGACCATTTTGTCGTCTTATTGCGAAACAATACATGAAAAACGACAACGCATGCTCTTTGACAGGGGAATTCATTCATGCATTTTTGGTCCTACCGCACATGGAGTTGTCTACATGAGTCTACCTTGGGAAAGTTCTGGAGATTTCAACATGGGGCTAGACATTCATTCGTTTTTGCGCGACAGGGCACCTGATCCGAGTGTTGTATCCATGACACTCATCGCACCGGTCCCTGCCAAGGAAGGGAAGTCCTGCATTTCTGTTCCAACATTCTCAGGTCGAAGCTCGCGGAGGACAGTCAAATGGCCTCCAAGTGGTGGCTGCTGCCGCTACATGCCAATCTGCCTCCAGAGGACCAGAGCGGGGGCCTTCTTGAGGTCCGTCGAGGTGAGCGGGCTGATGAAGTCCGTCCATGCCCGTGATATTTTATTGGACTTGGTGTTCCTCAAACTGGGGGAGTGAACCGAGCCGTCTTAGCTTCGCGGCATGTTGAGGTTGATCAAATTTCAATGATCCTCATACAACAAACGACCTCACCAAAGTTCTTTTCTGCGAGATTCTAACGGTTTGGTTGTGAAGAAGCGATCTGCTGGTGAGTTCCGTTTTCAGGAGCAGCAGGCCTGCTTCAATGTCACATTGCCAGCAGGCTCGGAACCCCAACCTTGGCAATTGCTGTGCACCCTTTATATTGAAGTATATAGTCTTTTCTTCTTGTGAAGGCGCTTGCGGATCAACATCCTCACAACACCACTCCACAGAACATCACAAAGAGCACAAGCAAGTAAGACCCCAGGCCCCAGGCCAAGCACCATGTTTCAATTCTTTTGAAATCCTTTGAAACCTTTTGAAGTCTTATGAACCCCTGTGAACCCCTAGGCTGCACGCGAAAGATCATTTGCTCCACCAACGTCGCGGAGACCTCCGTCACCGTCTGGGGGCCGAGCCGTCCGGACGGAGAGGGACGTTCGTTGCCGCCCTTGGAACGGCCTAAAGTCACCACTGAACGGGTGAGTTAAATGGCTTATTTCATTTTCCATATGTTGCCTATCAATGCCAATCACATCTACCATCCTGTTGCCTGGCAGTGCTGTCAAGGCCTCTGTTGGGGTTGCTCGACCATTTGGAGGAAGGGTGAGACCTTTCTGCGGCAGTTTGCCACGTTTTCTTCAAGAACTAACAACTCTTCGATGGACTTCGATGACATGGTTTCTTTTGGTGGTTTCTTTGGCGCTTGGGACGCTCGATGACGTGCTTTTCCGAACGCGAGCGGCACACGCAACAAGCCGAGCGGCACAAGCGACTGCCCAGGTTCCGGACGTCACCGTGGTCATTGACACGTGCCGGGAACGGAGGAATCAGGAGGGGATCGCAGGGTATCGGAAATGGAGCCTGCGCAGGTCATTCGTGCCATTTCTGTGATGTGTAGAGCACCTCTGAGATTTTTGAGTATATACAACTGTAGAAGTCCATTTGTTTGTGTTGAATTTTGTATAACACCCTGCCCGCACATGACTTTGATTTTCAACAAATGAAGAAATGAAGAGAACGTCCCAATTGAGTCCTTTATTAGATTGTGTTTTGGTGTCGATGCATTTGGCAGGTGGATCGTCACAGCAATACGCCGGTTCTTCGTGTGAGGCTTAGGGACAGAGGTTGGAGCTGCGGGTTTCTCATGATTGTAGTGGGTTGATTGGAGTGTAGCCGAGTGTAGCTCAAAAATTGCCCAAAGCAGCTTCAAATCAATAGTTCTTGCCGATTTGGCATTTTGCCTGAGCCATACTCATGGGGTGTCTTGGAGACCAGTCACTTCATCATGCTTTGAAGCAGTGCAGCACAGGAAGGGACAAACTTCTCAAGCCAATATTGTAGATGACAAGACATGGCTCCTTGATCGAATGTTTGTGAATACTTCATTTTGGTGCAATTGTTGACATACTTACCACGCTCCCAATGCACTTCAAGCATGGGCCCATATTGAATATTATTGAATGAGTGAATCAACTTGCCACAGACTGCAACTCTGAGGGGAGCAATGGTGCGCGTTGGACTCCCTGAAACAGCGCCGTGGCCGTGCAGGCCGTGTTGGGGATCTCAGGCTGTGCTGGCTGGATTCAAGGTCTGTTCAAGTTCAAGGCGTGTTGGTTTAGTCCTTCCAGAACCGAGCCCATGAAGTGCACCGGCGTTGGTCGATTTTTCAATATCCCCAAGGGATGCCGACGGCCACATTCTATATGTGGTAGTTGATGGTAATTGGTTCATTTTGGGGCAATGAGGTACTCCAAAGGTGGGAATGGACGGTGCATGAACATTCTCTTTGAGGCCACCTCGGTACACCCCCAGCAAGCTTTTTTGGAAAGTGGTCCATGAGCCCTGCAATGGAGCCTCCCATGATGGCGTGCAGCCCGAAACGACCAAAAGGAAGAAAGACCTGAGGTGCAGCCAGGCGTGTGCTTGCGCCTCCTTCCCGAGAGGCAGCGGCAAGCTGTTGTTGTTCAACAGTAAAAGATCGTATTAGTGCGTTCTTGCTCCTAGTAGCGATGCCCTTTGTTACTAGTAGCGTCCTAGTTCAATGAGGACTTTCGCGATCCGCCGGACCATGTTTTGTTGCCGCGCTCGATGCTTGTCATCGACAGAACTGGTCGAGGAGTTGAATGAAGGAATCAGCAGCTTTGTGAAAGGCATTTGGAGCGGATGGATGCGATTTCTCCACCAGAGATGCAGCGAGTGCCCTTGGAGAATGTGTACTTGCAGGCACGAGCAGAGCAATTGAGATAAGGGAGAGGCCCGAAGGCTTCGAGTCCTCAATGGAGTGGATGGGTCCACATTCTGGCGCAAGCTGAATATGACGAAGACATGTGAATGCTCTTGGAGACATTTGAAGATGCATGCGTGCAACAGCAGGGTGCTACAAGTCAAGTGTAAACATGGGCAAGCATCTTGCTAGGTCTGTGCCAGTGGATATGATGACAGGCCGGGACCATGGGGTTGGCAATGAGAGCCTTTTGGACATCAGACACTGCGCTCTTGAGAAGCACTTCATGCTCGCCACTTATGCCAGGGCTGCCTTCCTAGCCTTGACCCCTGACCCACCGGACAAAACTTCGGTGGAGTTCGCAGAGGCGCGCCTCCAGTCTTCGAGAGAGTTTCTGTTCCGCGACATGGGCGTGGGTTGAATCAAACGCGTCTTTGCATCGTCGCGCCGATTTCTGCAGCCTTTCTGAAGAGAACTGCGGAGAGAGGAACATACCCCAGCCTTCTAAGGCGGCTCTTCGAGATCTGAATGCCTTGGATTCGAAGCAACCGGATGGCCTCACCCCGCCAGGACCTCAACGGACGGACCGTGGACCTGCCCGGGTGTTCGCGTGCGGCAGTCGCCGGATCTCCCAGGCTCGGTCGGCACCTGGCAGCCTTGCCGTGCCATCCTCGGCTGGGAAAGATCCTGGTGCTAGGCGCGGGTGGAAGGGGTTTCTTGGAGAGCGAAGATGTGCCAGCCTTCTTCGTACCGGAGGATTCTCTTTTTGACAGTTGGAGGGATTTCATGTTCAGAGTTGGAGGCTGGAGGTGTTTTCTTTTTTGTTTTGGTTGAGCACCATGCTTCGAGAATGTTGGTCTGCGCGGCCCGAGTGATCTAGCTGCAAAAGGGTTGACCGATTGCTGGAGTTTGTGCAAGCCCGCAACGACGATCTCCGATAGGCTGCTTGCTGGGTGTGTCAGGGCCCAAGGATTTGCCATGAACATGAAAAGAGGTTATTGTACAGTACAGTGGTGCTTCGTTTGGTTCGGACTGTTAACGATTGTGAACCGCACAAACATACTGTAGTTGTTGCGAAAACCTTCGAAGGTGGGCAATACAGTGAAGGGGATTTTCTCACTCCTAACTTGCGTAGCCTGCACCTGGTTCAAGGAGATGCAACAAAGTCCAAACTCCTTCTCAGAGAACCCCCAGTTTCTATGGTCTTGCATGCTCCTTCTCTGCTGTCTCAGACTCTGCCATCCGAGACAGCCGAGGCCGAGCCCTTGCTTAAGCATTTGCGCAGCACCTCGAGCAGCACCATAGAAAAACATGTTGTCACAGCATTCGATAGGTATGAGGTGGTGTTGCATGACTCGAGCAAGGTTGGACCACATTCTTCTTATCAAATTACAAGACGTAGAATACTTAGAGGCCATGCTTTCTGCAACATTTTGGCGTACAGAGGCAATGTCGGTGCGGAATCCAATGATGACAACGCAGGATTGTGGGATTGTGGAGAGTCTTTAAGTCGGACAAGCAAGCAGGAAGATATGCTTTCTGTCAGTCCTATGATGATACGGTAACTTAATCTTTATCTGCTCAGATTGGAGGACACCACCAAGCGGGCGAGTTGGCAGACCGCGAGGACCACTCGGGAGGAAGACCGGTGGAGGTGAGTCTGGTCCTACCTCGGCGCGGGCGATGTTGCCAGGATGGAGATGGTGGGGGAGATTGGCACCCGAAGTGATCATTGCGCGTGAGGTGGCCCAGAAGATCAGCAATCAGAAAATCAGGTCTCAGAAGAAAGTGGCCGAATGTTTGTGTTGGGCAAGGGCTGGCTGGTGCAGCAACAGTTGGTCAGGAGTACCACTGGTTCATTTTTTGCTTAGGTAGTGTCATTGTCATAGTGGGAGATACTGAGATACTGCTGCTCTTGGCTGGCAGAATGTACTCAACTTTGTGGGAGGAAAACACCTTCAACCAAGCACTCCTGCAGCCTTCAGTTTTTTAGGAGCCTCTTGGTCTTCTATCATTGTACATCATTGTACCATTCATTGGCCCATTGCCCTGATGTTCATCTCATGAACCTCAGACAGCCCCAGACCATGAGTGTTCTGGGTGCAGATGTGGCAGTGGGTCGCTCCACTAGCAACAGGTGGACATTTACTGGGAGTTTTCTAGTGACAAAGGCATAGATGGCGTAGAGGGTCTGACCAACACGGCCCAGCCAAAGGTGGGCGCACATCATCCAGGAATGGCGCTTTGGTGACATGAAACAGCCCGAAGCCCAGGAATGGCGCAGTCCTGGGAGGACGATGACTGCGACTTTCTGGGTGGAGAAGCAATAAGTTAGGGGACTCATGCATACATCTTGTATGTGATGTATTGTACAAATTATACAGGTACAGTTGCTCCATAATCTAGTTTGATTTGGATACTTGGTTCTTTGCTCGTGCCTGGCAGATTTAGCAAAAAATCCCGAATATCTGCCAGGCGCGAGCTGTGTCGCAAGCTGGGCCTGTCCTTTGAGCGAATGTGCTCCTCCATGTTTGCTGGCGCCCCAGAGACGTTGACATCGTCGAGAAAAAGACATGATGAAAATGATCCTTAGTATTGTGGATGCTGTTCTTCCAGTTGTAGGCAGTTCTGACTGATAGATCGGGTCTTCGGAATTGCGACGATCAGATCACAAACCAGGAGCGGAAGCATTTGATGGAGTCTTTGGCCGGGCGCTTGGCCATGGTATGTCAAGGGTAGGTGGAATGTGGCAGTGCGGATCATTGGTGATTGATGGGGTTGTAGCGGCCGCAATCTGAGTGCACCATTTTCCAGTGCTGGCCTGGCTGTTGGACACCAATGCTCGTGGAGATACGTATGAGGCAAACAGGATCCCATAGTACTGTATGGGTCTCCACTTCACCTGGTTTTTGCCCTAGCGGCTTTTGGCTCACTGCTGTGGTCGACCCACAGCCTCTAAGATGCAAGTGGGCCTCCTGCCCACCAGCTTCAAGGATGATGAAATCATGATGAAAGACAAGGCGCTTGACTTGTAGAGTCAGAGATTGGAACCTCTTGAGGACCTGACCAATGCATGGATTTGATGTTTCCCCTTGTCCACAACTGCCAGATGCCGGACTGGAGTTTGGTGAAAGCTGCCGTGGCCTGGCACCCAGGTCTGTGACCAGAACGTGCCTGGATGTACACTGTACATGGATCTTGATGAGAGTTCGCGTGAGTGAAGAAACCGTGCGAACCGTGCGAGGTGATAAAGGTATTGATCCAGCCTTACGAATGTCGATCTATCTTTGTTTGAGGAAACCATTTGGAGGAGGCTCACTGCCCCTGTGAAAATGCAAGGTCAATATTTCGCGTGATATAGTACTCAGATTGCTTCCTTAGTTGAAATCGTTGCTGAGCTTCACACCATTTTGTGTGAAAAGGCTTGTGGACTCTTCTCAACGATTTTGCCGACCGTATTGCAGCAATGCTTATTTGGTCACTCAACGGTCGGAAGACCAATCAAGGATACTACGACAAGCTCTTTGATAGTATTCGGAGTAGTCAATTCCCAAAGCAGTTGTGCTCAGGTTGGGGGGCTTTATCCCAACATCGTGAACGTGGAGCGACGTGCTAATTCTGGCAGGCTCGCGCTGCAAGAAGCAAGCCACATCTGCCTGGTTCAAGGTCTTGGAGGTGGATTTGCAAGCTATTCCAGGTCAAGCAAAACACTGGAAAAAACATGCGTGTGAAATCAGAGAGACACACATCTGTTTCTGGTAGGTATCAGACTGGCAACTTTGGTGACAAGGCAAAGCTCCTTCAGTACGCCATGATGCACAGGCAAGGCCCAGCGTGTTGTATGTGTATGTTACGGCTGTTGCAGTCTGCGTCAGGGCAACAATAGCCATCCCTGAATTTTGCGTTGGTCTGAACGGTGTTTTTTCTTCTAAATTGTTTTCTTTTTTTGCGAATGAATGGGTCAACCTTGTTTTGCAAGACCTCCCAAACCCCCGACCTTGTGCTGGCTGCCTCGCCTCAGGTCAACCGACCCAAAGAACAACTACCGGAAGAGCGTGTACCTGCATCCCAACTCCTTGATGTTTGGGTATGACCAGTGCTGGCCCAAGCGAATGCTGTTTTGCCATCGCCTCCAACGAATGCTGGGCATTGGGAGATCCCGCCTCCTCGAACGAATGTAAAAGCGTCACAACCATGATCGTGAAGGGGTAGTGCATAGAGCTTTTGATGGATTTGATTCTTTGAATGAAGAACAGACTGCTCACTCACTTGATACTCGAGGTTTCATACTCCCTGGCTTGCGTTTTACACAATCCAGTTGGCCAACTCAGAAACGATCAGTTAGCCCATGCTTTCTTGCAGATGAACCTTTGCGTCTGTTTTGCTCGATTTCCACACGAACCCGATGATGATGGTCCCAGATGGACCCTAGACATCAGCCAGAGTGTTTTCAAGCCGGCCACCGGCATGTGTCTAGGATTGTCTAGGACTCCAGGATTGTTAAAACCACGGAGGAAGACCACTTTCTGTTCGACATCGTGGCAGCAGTCGACCCGTGTCCGCCTTCCCGTGAGGCAGACCACCAAACTCTATGCTTATGATGTCTCTGAAGCACAAAACCCAGCGATTTCTGCCAGGCTTTCTGCAGGATTCTGCAACACTAGTGACTAGTGGCAACAAAAAAATATCATGTGAATCATTTGCCTGATGATTTAGGGTCTTGCTTGTGTCGCTAGGACAACCACAAGCGTTGTGTAGTCTGCAAATCACACTTTTGTTCCTTGCTGACAAGTTCATGTGATCCCAGTTGTACAAACATGAATGACCGACTAGCTGCAACGGAGACAACTTTGCGCTAGCTAGCATGCAGGCCAGGTGAGGACAAGCACATGTTGATTGTTGTTGATCAGCAACTCTTTTCTTTGAACCACACTGATGGCATGTTTTTGTTTGGAGCAAACAGAGCATATATATATATATACACATCAAGTTATATAATATACTCCAAAAGCATTGTCCATCCGGCCTTCCGGTGAGATTCCCCTAGGGCCCTAGGGCGGCCGCCGCGCCCTGAGGCGCCGTCGCGTCGGGTGACTGCCGAGGCGAGCCCCTTTGCGTTGCTCCTCTTCGGCCAAGAACTCACCTACAACAAGGTGACCCATTCGTTGCAGGCGAAGCTGGCGCGATGTTTGTTTGGGATAAGGAGATGGAGTGTGTTCTTGTGTTGGAGGGGTTCTTCCCAGCAAGCATTTTCTCTTCTTAATGTTCTGATCCATTTCCTTCGCAATGTCTGCCTCGCATATGCCGCCTCCCACAGCCATGTCTGTCTTCCCCCTAGCTGCTTCGTGCTCAAGGTCAAATGGACCGATAGACACATGAGGATGGATGACGTATCCACATCACATGGTTTGCCGAGCAGCGTCATTTCCAAAAAGCTCATGAGAACATCTTCAATGCCAGTCGAAACATCTCTTCAAACCAAAACAGAATGGATCTGGGAAGCAACTCAACTTCAGGTCGAGTAGGAGTAGAGAACAGCACCACACGTGGTTCAAACTGTGGCAGCTTGCCAGGAAAGGCTGAGCTTCTACAGCAACTGATCTTTTCAAGATCTACAATCGTCATCCTGAGGCCAAGCAAGCTTAACTGCCGGTCACAGCTTCTCCCCCACAGATTCCCGTCCACCACACCCAGGTGAACGCTTCGCCTCGGCGAAGCGTCACACGCTTCCGACGCCGCACTTGTTGCGTCCTGCGTGGTTTCAGCCATGGATGCTGGGTCTCTCACGGAGATCTTGGCGGCCTTGGACGGGGACTCTGCGGTGCACTTGATCCTGCAGACGTTTCTGGGCGCAGCGCAGGTGTTGCAAGGTGGTCGTTTCGCGTCACAAGGACGGTTGAGTGTGGAAAGGGATGGGGCCGATGGAACTGGTCCAAGCTCCAATATAAAGGACATTTCATTCACTTCGCCGTGGCTTTCTGACCAACAAACTCCAACACATTCAAGATCCCCAAATTCAGTGGTCATTGGCCCAGACGCTTTCGTGCCGTCTTTTCTTTCACTCAGGTTGAGATTGCGGCCTTCTTTGAGTCCGGCCGTGGTGCACTTCGCCTGCCCGTCCCTCACCTATGCACCTTCCAGAAGCATGACCGAGAGAAGGCGCTGAATGGCCCTGATGTGTTCCGAAATCCTGGATAAAGCTTTATTGCTTCCAGCTTGGTTGACATGGGACGGTGTCAGATGGTTTCCACCTTTATTTTTTTGATCCCTGAAGGATATGTGAATGAGATGGAACATATTATGCCATTCTTCTCATTACGACCGAACCTAGAGGAGTTAGGTGTTTCTGCCGTTTTTGTTGGGACAGGTGTCGTGGGGTGCTGCGGCAGTTTGACGAGACGCAAGGCGTTGGGCTCATCACGAGCCCGGAGATAGAGGCGTGCCGCGCATGAATGGGGCAGGTTTGGCATAGTGACCCTGATGCGACTGGGCACTGCATTGGGCCTTTTTTCTTGCATGGTTTTGACACTATGCCCAAATGTGGTTGAGGGTTTGGGATGGTTTGGATGCTGCTCCAATCTGCTACAGCAGTTTGGATGAAAAGGACATGTGTTGGAGTTGGATGGACCAAGTTGCACAGGACGCACCTGTAGAGGTGGCTTCACATATTCTGCGCCACTACAGGACAGAGGCTCTTAGGTTGAAGGTTTGAACCCTAACCAAAGTTTCGCAGTCATGCAAGGAATTGTGTCTGGGATTAAACACACTGAACTTGATAAAGCTTGGGGAGCTTTCTGCTCTGTGGCCCAAGATGACCCGTTTGAAACCGTCATCAGGAAGATTGTGTCTTGCAACGACAGGCCACCTTCGGAATGGAGGTGCTGGTCCAGCAAAACCAGCTGAAGGGATTCCAGGTGCGCGGCCAAGTGTGAAAACGGGAAAGCAAAGCGAGGGGCGCACCAACTTCCGTGTGTCGCACGAACTAGCAGCTAGCGAGAGTTCCACCAAATCTGCACTTTAACGAAGACACGTAGTGAAAAAGTATGTGCTCCGAATCTGCCCAGTTCCTTTGTTGTCTGAAGAGGTAGGAGACGAGATTAGCTTCACCTGTGCACCTTGGCGGGATGGAGGAGAGCATTGTTTCGCAACAGGTGCACGGCTTGCCCAGCCTGGTGATTGGGTGTAGCGTTGGTGGTGGTGTCATAATTGAAGTGGTGGGGGTGTAGTAGAGTCGTAGAGGGATTCAAGAAAGTCATGGCTGCGGAAGCTCGTTCCAGAAATCGTATTATGTTCAGAGATCGGAAGCAGATATTTTGCCACACAGTAGGTGCGTTTCGAGATGTTGCCTTTGCTGACTCTACTGCTTTGCAAACCATGGGTCACCAGAAGTGGTCCGACACGTTAACCAGCGCCTGACATCGAGATCGTTTTTGGAGATTCTTTGTGGACATTTCTCCCCAGAAATCGATTTCTCCCCAACCCTTTGGTTTTCCCACATTCATAAAAGGAAGGGCTCAAAGCTAGAGAAAATCTTGTTCAGAGATCGCTGCCATGAGCTGACATAGAGAGTTGACTTTCCGGGACGGCAGAAAAGAAAGACAGGACTTCTTGAAGACTGCTTGGTCCATATATATGAGGGTTATGGGCAGTTATGGGTATTAGGTTGGAGGCCATCGCGGTTGGCATTAAGGTCTGGAGTCTGGAGTGTTTGCAGCACACTAATTTGGTCAGTGTTCCACAGAAACAGGTGCACAGTTGCCAGGTTTTGCCACACCATACAATGCCATACTGCTACCCAGGTTCTCAGTCAGGAGAATAAGCCAGAAGCCTTCGAGCTCCTAACGGCTTTCGGCCTTCCACACTTTCCGGGGGCATCTGATGATGCCAAGAGACGTCGGAGAACGTGAGGCGCGTCTTTGACAGTGCTTGAAAACCAACAATTTACCGATTTACCTTCATTTGAGAGCAGATGTAATGGAGATCCAACATCATCCAAAGACAGATTCTGGCGGGGAATATGGAGAGAACAGCACCTCCTTTTCCACCATCCACCGCATCCACGAATGGCAAGCACATCTGCGCTCGCAAGGCCGAAGAAAAAGTGCCGTGGCCAAGCGCAATGACTGGTTCTACTGGCACGGAACAAAAGAGTGGCAGTTGCAGGGGTGGCTCTGACCCTTAGAAGTGTTAAAGGACGAGGGCACCAATAGTAGACAGGTAGACCGACCGTTTGTTTCCGTTATTTTTTCCATGCATGAGTCGAGCTCGGACGGGCCGTCGGACGGGCCGTCGGGTCCGACGGATTCCCGGCGTCTCGTGGAGCGACCGGATGCTGAGCAGCCGCAGGTGGGTGGCTTCGCCAGCTTCCGGTGTCGTGGTGGAGAGCAGCTGATGCCTCTCTTACAGGAGACGTGGATGGGAGCACCAGTCAGTTGGGGAGGAGTCTGAGCAAGTTAGCTTTTTGACATTTCTCATCACCTAGCTCGGTTTTGAACATATTCTCGCACACACTCACCATGCATGGCATAGACGCTTCGCGAAAACGAAGAATCTTTGCGCGCCAGATGTGTCAGGCAGCTCGGCGAGCAATCCAGGATGTCCTGGAGAGGAAGCTCGAGGACAGAGGGTTCAGGAGGACCAGTTGGTGCTACATATCTGGCCGATATCAAGGTATGAGCTATCAGCCATGATAGATCCATTTGCTTGTGATAAGTGAAAAGTGATATCTAGCCGCCACAGGGGTCCATCGCAGTCCATTGCACCATGGTGTTAGACGCAAACATGTCAGCAGCTGATAAACAAGCAGGCTTTTGTTTGCAAGAGTGGCTTTGTGCTTTTGGTTGATCAACTACACGTTTGTTATACAACTTTGTTTGATTCGCGTGGGAATCCGCAGCATGGTGCTCGGCCTGTGTGGGAAGCTAGGGCAGCCGCTATTTGAGGACGCGACATGGGACCTCACCACTTCCAAGGACTAGATCTCAGCTGTATAAATTCTCGTCAAACAGCCTTGTCGATGCGAGAAGGATCAGATTCTTGAGGATGATCCTCATTCTCCTTCTTTTTGCTGGAGGTTTCTTTTGTCCTGGCACCTTTCCACAAGATTGAGAACGTTCCGCTAAAGCAAATCATGTGGTCATGGAATTTGGATTTGAATTGCACTGCCTATAGCGTTTGTGCCAGCCTTTCCAGGAGCTGCAAGTTTGCATACAGCTTTTGCGGTGTAACGGGTTAGGCGTTTGGGTTGGCCGAGCGTGGGGAATGTTGGCGAGTCTTGTGAAATAGTACGTCCTCCAATTCCGGCATGTCGAGCTCAGTTGCCCCAGGTTTCCCCTATTGAAACTAATATATAGTTCCGGCATGTTCCGGCTTGTTGAGTCATGGAATGTCAAGGCTTGACGCACGATGTGGACATGAACTTCACCATTTAGCCCTTGGCCCTTGAGAGAGGTGAAACACGGTAAAAACATGGTAAGAGACTGTTCAGCCCTGGATTTTTTCACTGATTTGTCAGGCTTCCAGAAGCCAGATCCGAAGGATTTTGTGAGGACTGCACCCTCAGAGGCTTGAGCAAAACAAGAGCTGGGAATAGGGAGCTTGAGGTTGATTGTGTAGTATGTGGTAGTTATTGGAAAGCCGACCTTTGCCCAAGACTTGTACTCAGGGCCAGCAGCGGTCATCACCTGTAAAAGCTTGGAGACTGGCATTTTCAGCATACAGCAGACTCTGGACTCTCACTTCATGTGCTGCTTTTCACGGCTGCTTCCGAAGCAGCGATTCCCTGCATGTGCCCGTTAGGCGCGTGAGTTCAATGAACACGAGAATGAGACGGCCTTCATGATGCGGAAGGCAGGATGTGGCAGGATGGTGGAAGGAGAGGAATCTGCAGAAGACGCCTTGAACAAGGACGCTACGAACGGAGCAAAGTGCATCGCTACTAGGAGCAAGGACGCCACTAGGGGCTCCTGGCCTTACTACTAGGAACAAGGACGCTACTAGCAAATGATGATGTGTTCCTCCAAGTTGCTAAACGAAGGCCCGAACGCTTTGTTGTGCTTTCTGACAGTTTTTGCTCCGTGAACAGGATGATGAGCAACAGGAACGCATGAAGAAAGTGTGGTCTGTGCTGGCATGTTATAGACCCTTGTGAATTTCCATTTGGAGCCTGTCGAGTATGTTGCGGGTTAAGCCTTGCATTGACATCAGACATGTCTGTGCTTGCGGTGTGCCAACAGCCTTTTCTTCCTTGACTGTTTGTGCTTCGTATGTCATCTTTATATAAGTGGATTTGTGGTTTCACAAGCTGAATGGCTGCACACCTACTTGTAGTTTCTTGATTTTGAAGCAGTGCTTGAAAGCTTTCAAACGCTAACAGGGGTTTTGCTCAAGGCACATCCCACCTTGCCAGAGTCCAACTTGCCAGGGCCGATGCTGCAAAGCAAGCCGCGTCGTGAGGAAAATTGCAATCACATATATATATATATATATCTGTACGTGTGTCTATATATATAGAATTTGATTAAATATATATAACTATATATACATCTCAATTTCCTTGGCCTTCTATTGTTGCTTGCGCCAAACTCAACCATGCCCAGCTGACCCCAGATGCTGCAGAATCGTGGAGGAGACACAACTAGGAAGACCAGTGTGTCATTTGGATGAGAAGTTGACAATCATCTAGAAAGTCAGGGTGCACAGCCCAGACTTCGTTACGAAGGACCTCACACAGACAATGACAGAAGATGATATTGTTGGCCTTGCGGAGATACCATTGTACCATGCATTTGACCTCGCAGAATCAATCCTGCTTGCCTTATGATATCGCGCCCTAATTTGAGTAGCATGCAACATCCACCTTGCCATTTGCAGCTCAAGTAGAGTTTGGCAAATCCCATTGTGTCGCCTTTGACACTCTCCTTTTTATTACGAGTGGGTAGTGGCTACAGTGGTCAGAGACCCAGCCTACAGTTGCATGGACCGTGGTGGGTCTGCGGTTGTGGGCCATTGAGAATGCTCGGTTGGTCGTTTAGGGTCTGGAGGATCCCACAAAAGTCCATTTTTCAATTCTAAGAAGTTGTGAACATACCTTTCGAGCATACCCCATACCCCACATAATAACTTTTCATACATTTTGGTGGTATAGGAATGAAGGGCTTCTTACTACGTGGGTATAGCTCGAAAGATATGTTCAACCAGTGGTGCAGCAACGATGGTTTCAAATCGAAACAAAAGCCAGTGCTGTTGTTGCAGCTCGCGTTTTTCATTTGCGCGACCGCTTCTTCGGTTGCGGATTGACTGGGGTGACACTGGAATCGAGCGTTGCCGATCTAGCTGCACATCAGAATGACATTCAAACTCTTTGAATACATTTGGTGAGCTTCTAGTGCTTCTGAGGCGCCGATGGTTTGGAGGCAAAGATCAGTGCCCAAAGATCTTTGAAATCGGCTAAATCAGCTTTATGTCTCATGATGCGTAACGTAGTTTTTGAAGGACATCGAAGCTTACCCTACCTACACCCACCAGTGCTAGACCAACAAAGAGCCTGCACACTTGCAACCGATCCACCAACTGACTAATTCCACCTGCTACTGTAGCTGGTGAACTCCCGAAAGAAGAAATGGGCCAATCCCATCGAATCCCTCCCACAGAAATCCTCAAGGAAGCAGTAGCCGCAATAGCAAATCGGAATGACCCACCGAAATCCTCAACGAAACAGGCTCCATCCATCATGCTTCGCTTCATCCAATTCCGCGCCAGGCTCGGGAGGTGGACCGCAGCGGTGCTGGTTTGTAGCACTGGGGCCCATCCACGTCACGGCTCCTCGGAACAGCCAGCGGTTGAGCGGAGTGCTTTGTGACATGGTGCCAGACGTCGGCCTGCTTGGTTCTGTTGGATTCGGCTGACGTTGAGTATCGGACTTGCATCTGGAAACTGAGTGGCAGAATTGAATATTGAACAGCTTATACACGTTCGAAGCTTGACATTTGCTGCAAGACTGCAAGATTCGAGTTTTTGACGACAATGGAACAGATCGGATGATTCGAGCACGTTGAACAGGTTTACCCTGTGTACTGTGTTTGCTGGGGAGGCTTCCGACCCTTCCGCGGTTAAGAGGGTTTCGAGTCCAAGTGGTCTCACATGGTCTCACCACTAAGGTCTCGACGTGGAGGCCAGAAGAGGGCGGAAAGGATCTTTGGGTTCTATCCTTTTCTGCACATTTTTGGGTGTTGAAGATTGCAGTGTCAGTTACTTTTCCGTGACAGCACTTGGCAAGCATCACATGTTTCCACAGGTTAGCTTCTGACACTGGCCCCTTGGCCATGTTTTGCAGTACCAAACGACCTGAATCCCCGTGAATCAAAGAGAGAACCACCAGAAGGAAACCGGACTTGGATGAAGAGGAGATATCCTCTCAAGATGGACAAGTCTGAGACCTGGATGTGCCTCCCAAAGTTGGATATTAGATACATGCAAGGTCCAAGATGATCCAAGGATCTGCAGGAATTGGATTTGTTTCTTTTTTGCCTCGCCTCGTCGTTCATGGAACCGACCTGTGTTTGAGCCATGACAATCTTGCTTTGAGTTGCTGGAGATGCCAAAGCTCCTCTGAAAGAGATGGACAGCTGAAGATTCTGACAACACCAGAAGATTCAGTGGGTAAACCTGTCGCAAGCTCAACACATGACGCCGGTGCCAGGTCACTGACCACAGACACGTAGCGAGACATCCCAGAATACAGAGATCAGCACCTTCTTCACAGGACGGGGTGGCACACTTGGATACCTCTGGTTCGCGTTTGTTGTGGGGTCCGGCGGACGTTCGTCACTGCTTTCTTTTTGCTGCTGCTGCTGCTGCTGTTCCAGTGGAACAACTTGCGACATGCGACAATGACAGAGACATAGAAGCAATATAAAGCAATCAGGCTCTTTTTATGTCCCCAAGGGTGGTTCTACTAGCCCCTTTCAGACGGACAAATTGTTTATCAGAATCAAACCAAGTACACGGTACACACCCGCGAAGATCAAGGTGGAACTCGACGGCCATCGGTTCAGGTTGAGGCTGTTTGGATCCCTCCTATTGCAACATAACTCTGTCAGGGTCTAGATCAACATATTCTACATATAATGTATATAATATGTTA